CATTCCTGTGTTGTTTGCCTATATTCATCCTTTGTAATCTGTCCTAGTTTCCATTTTTTATATGACTCCTTTTTATTTTTTAGATCATGCAAGATCTTGTGGTTAAGCCAAGGTGGTCTTTTTTTTTCCCCCCTAACCAGCGGAATAGCTTGCTTTTGGGCCCTTAATAGTGTCCCTTTGAAAAACTGCCAACTCTGCTCAGTTGTTTTCCCCCCTCAGTCTTGACTCCCGTGGGATCTTACCTATCAGTTCTCTGAGCTTACCAAAAATCTGCCTTCCTGAAATCCGTTGTCTCTATTTTGCTGTTCTCCCTTCTACCCTTCCTTAGAATTGCAAACTCTATGATTTCATGATCACTTTCACCCAAGCTGCCTTCTACTTTCAAATTCTCAACAAGTTCCTCCCTATTTGTTAAAATCAAGTCTAGAACAGCTTCCCCCCTAGTAGCTTTTTCAACCTTCTGAAATAAAAAGTTGTCTGCAATACAGTCCAAGAATTTGTTGGATAGTCTGTGCCCCGCTGTGTTATTTTCCCAACATATATCCGGATAGTTGAAGTCCCCCATCACCACCAAATCTTGGGCTTTGGATGATTTTGTTAGTTGTTTAAAAAAAGCCTCATCCACCTCTTCCACCTGGTTACGTGGCCTGTAGTAGACTCCTAGCATGACATCACCCTTGTTTTTTACCCCTTTTAGCCTAAACCAGAGACTCTCAACACTTCTGTCTCCTATGTCCATCTCCACCTCAGTCCAAGTGTGTACATTTTTAATATATAAGGCAACACCTCCTCCCTTTTTCCCGTCTATCCTTCCTGAGCAAGCTGTACCCATCCTCGCCAACATTCCAATCATGTGTATTATCCCACCAAGTTTCAGTGATGCCAACAATGTCATAGTTGTATTTATTTATTAGCACTTCCAGTTCTTCCTGCTTATTACCCATACTTCTCGCATTTGTGTATAGCCATCTGAGAGATACTGGTTCGATCTTGCATCCCAGTTTTGCCCTGACCCTCCTTTCTCTGCCATTATAGCCCACACTCCCTCTTGTTTCCGACCCATCTCCCAGGTCTCCATACGGCATTTGATTCTAATGGCAAGTTATAAAAATAGGGGGAAGTCTCCTTGTCAAAGTCAACCTTTCAGACGATGGACATGTGATTAGTTGATATGAACCTGTAGCATTTGTTTAAGCCAGATGTCCATTCATTCTTTTTCTTTTCTTCCTTATGTCTAGCCACAAAGGTGATAAATATTATAACTAGTTTATTCAATCCCCTGGCTTCAGCTTAAATTTCACCATAACCAGTATGTATGTTAGAGCTGAGCTGAACCAAGAATTTGATGAACAGGCTTTATTATTGTGTGTGTGTGTAAAAGAAACCTTTGGGTCTAGGTGACCTTTTCCTATTTATGAGGATGTTTCATTATTCATAATTATTCACTGAACAACTTGGATCAACAGTTTTCAGCCTATGGCTTGCCTGAAAAATTCAGCTACTTGCTATTTGGTAGCTAACGTGTGTTAAACTAATACTTTTACAAAAAGAAACTGCCTCTAAAGGAATACTGGGGTATTTCGCATCAAGCAACTGACGAGAGCTAAGCATCACAGATTCATGAACATTAAGGCCAAAAGGGACCACATTATGGTCATCTAGTGCAACCTCCTATGTAATTCAGGCCATATAATTTCATCCAGTAATTTCTGCAGTGGAGGGAATCATTCTTTCCAGCTATGTAATTGAGCACTATTGCAAACCAAACAACTGTGGAAGAGGTTAAAGAAATGAGAGGCATATCTGAATATCTCCATATGTACCTACGGTGCTGTCTATACCAGAGAAAACACCCTTGATTGTAGCTACTGACTAGCATTTCATCTAACTTCATCAAAAAAAGACTACCTCTCCCAAGAGGCAGGATAACCAAATAGGCTTTAACATGGTATCTTCTAGACACTGCTTGAACCATATATAGACTCATCTTATGGATGCTCAGATACTACCGAAAATGGCATGAATGCCTATACAGATGTCCATTTTGTAAAAGGAATCATCCATGCAAATTCCTTCTCAAGTACATTCCACACAGCTCTTATCCTAAGCCAAACAAGAAGTGCAAATATATTTAAGAGCCACAAACCTATTGTAAATCATTTGCTCGTCAGAACATGAATTTCCATCTCTTCCTCCAACTACCAACCAGTGAGCTAATACTACCTATGAAACCCACTGTTTCCATTGGTGTTACCAAAGGACATCACCCGTTTTACAGCATGCAGCTTTCTTGCACTGGTGAAGAATGGACACACTGGATCAAATGTTCATTTATGATACATTCTTGCAGTCAACTGGGCTGCATGCATGTAAGAGGGAAAAATCCAGCCCACAATGCAGCACTGTGCCTGCGCATGAAATCTTGCATACATGCCTTCAATCTCACTTCCATGTACCTCTGGACAGGAATGATGTTAAATTGGTGGGAATGTAGAGGTTGATCACCACTCTGAAGGCAATGGCAGTCTTTCTGTGGACAACAGTGCAAGTTGTATTGGGCCTTTAGAGAAAGGCAAAAAAAAGATGAACGAGGCTGGACTTAAATAATATGTCTAGAGTGATAAAGCAATGCATACGGGACAAGAAGAATTAATAACTATCTACACGTTTGGGATTTGGAGGGTTTGAACTCCAAGTGGGTGCGGGAGAGGGAGGGGAGCCTTCATGTAGGGTGGTCAGTGGGGGGGATAACTAGGAGTTGTGAGATGATATTGAGCAAGGAAACATTTAGACTGAATAACAGGAAGAAGTTACCTAATGGTGAGATCTCTAGGTTGTGGAACATTCAGCCAAGGAAAACTAGAGCATCAAAGAGAATTCTTTATTGGCAGACGGACAATGACCTGTTTTCCACTCCACGCGTTTGATGAAGTGGGTTTTAGCCCACGAAAGCTTATGCCCAAATAAATTGTTAGGACTCCTTGTTGTTTTTGCTGATACAGACCAACACAGCTAGCACTCTGAAACCAGTTACCTGTTTCTATGATTGCAGTCTAATCTCTGCAACATAACATCATAACACATTGTGCTGCCCATCTCAACCATCTCCTTCTAGCCATGGCCAAGTGAGCTGCATATGACAAAGGAGATCAGAAGAAAGGATGCCAAAGAAGGTAGGTAATGATAGCCATCCTTCCTTTCATTCATTGTGTGTAACTGGAGAACAAGTCTGGATTTAATATTCCTGCCCACACATATATCCCTCATACCTTCTTCCATACCACCACCCATGCATGGAACATCCTGCCTACCTCTGCTCTCCAAGACACTTCCCAATCATTTAAGTCCCAGAATCCAAGTCTCTAGCTCATACAGTTGCTAAGAAAGCCTTCAAAATATGAACCAAGAGTAAAGCGGTGCAGTGTTTCTGTGCTCTAGTCTGCAGACAAACTGAAACAGTAACTCCAAGTGGTGTGAACTGTCCCTCATTGCAGTGATAACACTTCAGCCTAATAATCTCACTAAAGATTGCACACAGAGGTGTTCTCATTTAGAGCCAGATTCCAACACCCTTCCTCACTTTCCAGAATATCCTACTCACAAGTAGATTCCCATTAATTTCCTGTTGGACTCCTCATGGAGTAGAGTACTACTCAAGATGAATACGGGTGTCCGTTTCTAGCCCTCTGTCTTGTACAGTGCCAAACAGTATCAGTGAATCCTAATAATATCAGGAAAAAAGTTCTAAACTACTATATTTGGTATAGTTTTTTGACTGGCAATTCGTATTTCTAATCTCACTACGGTATTTCATGTTTGCTGGGGTTTTTTAGTGGATTATTTGCAGAGAACTTAATGTAAGTTGGTGGTCAGCAGAATACTGCTGGAGTGATGGCCAACACATATATAAGGTAATTCTCGCTGTCTCTACAATAGCTCCAGTACAGCTCCACCAGAAGGTGGCAACAGTAAGAGAACTAATGTAGAACAGGAAGTGTGGATAGAGCACTACCATGAAAATCAGGAAACCTGAGTTCTACTACCAGCGAACCTATGTAACATTAAAAAAATCTGTTCCCCTCTGTTTGTTTTCCCTCCTGCCCCTTATCTTGTCTAATTCAACAAGAAACTCTTCAGGGCAGGGACCGGCTTATGTGTGTGTGTGTGCACGCGCAGAGCCTGGGACAAATCGATGCTTTAAGCGCTACCACAATACAAATAATGAGTAGGGCACTGGTGTTTTACTGTTATGATGCCTAATCCTGCACAGATCGTGGTGGTGAAAGTGCACTGTCCACATTCCATTTTAGCTACCAGTGGCAGAATGGAAACACAGGAAGCTTTCTGAAAAGTGCAAATATAGACAAGACACAAATTCCTACAGTGATGAGTGTCCCAAAAATATCTATAAATAAATGTCAGGCCTGAGTCCATTTATATTTGATTTTCAAATCCTTGCCCAGTATATTTATGTTTTCAGCAAAACAAGAATCCTTCTGTATCTAATTAACTAATCAGCAATGGCAACACTTCGGTACCTACCATGACATCTGGGGACAGACTAGCTGACCACAGCACTTCAACATAATGGAAATAGACTAATAAAATATATTCTACTTAGGGGCTTGAAATGACAGGTGAGAACCTGAATTGCAAACTCAACCACTTAAGTTTCAAGAGAACAAAAATTACTGTACCGAGCTCTTCAAATAAAAGTTTTTACAATTTAAAGAGCTTCTTCTTATCCTTAAAAGAGAAAGTAGTATTTTTTCCATTGTATGTTATGTTCCAGGTTATTCTTAAAATGCAAGACAATTCTTTTTCCATTTAAAGGGACATTTCTAAGAACAAGTTAGCACTTTAGCAATGTCCCAAATACCACCTCTGATTATTAGTAAATTTTAAATAAAGCAATGACTATAATTTGCCTTCTAAATCCGAAGACCTGCTTCAAGAAGAGGGGAAATTGGGTGATGCCAAAGTATGACTCTTTCCCTTACCTTAATCATGGTAAGTACATCATCCATCCGTAAGTTCTTAGGATCCCATACAGGTTTTTCTAAGTGTGTCCCCTGCAAGCAAACAAAAAAAAATTTTTTTTTAAATTGAAGACTTAATTCAACAACTATGCAATTACAAACATTTTTAGGAAAGGTATGAAAGAGCAAAACACTTGCAACTGCCTTCAGCAAATCACTTCCACTTCACTTGCTCTCTATCTAGAACATAAATGTACCTGATGTTATTGTAAAAATATAAAGAGACCCGGAGAGAGAAAAAATAATATATGGACACATCTTTAAATTCCACTAAAATATGATGGACATAACCTCACCATGTTTCCAGTGTCTTATATGGTAGTAAACATACATAGGGGATAATATGGCCATAAAATGAGCAACCAGTCTGAAAGCAGTCTATAGGAGATGATATGGTCCACACTAGGGATCAGGTGGGTGTGATTACTTTTTGAGTTCAAATCACTCTCAGAAGAGTCACCCCGTCTTGCTGTTGATGAAAACCAAGACTGAGGCTAAATCACCAAGCAGAACACTATGACATATGCAATTTTTCATGGAGCATCAGTTTCGGGAACATCCTTCAGGAAAATGTACCAGAGACCCTCCTCAACCCTCCTACTCCACTTTATCATTGTCCTGAAACATGTGTCCCAGCTGAGTCTCCATTACTATGTGACCTACCAAGTTCGGGCATGAGTCCCATCTTATGTATGGCCTAGGAAAAAGCAGAATGTCTTGAGCAGCCTACAATGACATTCATGGGACAGAGGAGTGTCTCTATATCAGATCAGAACTGGCTTTGGATGTGCAGGATACCCATATTTGACTGGGAGGAGAGGTTGTTTCTTGGCTGGTCTCTTGGATTTACAGCACAATGCTAAATTTAATCTGAGGTTAGTGGAGTCTGCTGCTGTTTGAGCAGAATGACCGGGGGAGTTGGAAGAAAGGAGGGAGGGAAATCAGAGATAGACAGTGAAGGGAATAACTTGACTGTGACCCCCAGCTGAAAGAGAGCTGAGCTCAAGACCCAGCACATTAGGGTGACCATATTTCTTAAAGTAAAAATGGGATGGCACAGGGCTCACCCGAACTGCTCCCTATATAACAAGAAACATTGTCCACTAAATCAAGAACATTGAATTTCCACACAAAGGCCCCAAACCCACATTAACAGTGAAATCAGTATTACAGGCGGAAAGCAGGAACTCAGGCACCAAGGCTCAGTTGCATTTCATTGCCATCTGGCTTAGAATGGGATCACTTTTTATTTTCTAAATTTTCAGTGCTCATTTCCTGAAATGCCATTAGTTTGCTATTAAAATGTATTGTTAATAGGGCTGTCAATTAACGGCAGTTAACTCATGCGATTAACTAAAAAAATTAATCGCAGTTTTAATTGCATTGTTAAACAATAGAATACCAATTGAAATGTATTAAATATTTTGGATGTTTTTCTACATTTTCAAATATATTGATATCAGTTACAACACAGAATACCAAGTGTACACTGCTCATATTATATTACAAATCTTTGCACTGTACAAATTCTAAACAAAAGAAAGCATTTTTCAGTTCACCTCACACAAGTACTGTAATGCAATCTCTTTAGCGTGAAAGTACAACTTCTAAATGTAGATTTTTTTTTATTACATAACTGCACTCAAAAACAAAACAATGCAAAATTTTAGACCCTACAAGTCCACTTAGTCTTACTTCTTGTTCAGCCAATCGCAAAGACAAACAAGTTTGTTTACATTTACAGGAGTTAATGCTGCCCTCTTCTTATTTACAATGTCACCTGAAAGTGAGAACAGGCGTTCACATGGGACTTTTGTAGCTGGCACTGCAAGGTATTTATGTGACAGACTGGAATGGTGGCCGAAGCATGAAGGGGCATATGCTAAACATTCTTAAGGACATGCTCTACCAATTTCACAGCAATGAAAAATGTGTCACGGACTGTGAAATCAGCCCTTCCCTATTAAATCTGATCTCCCCTGCTGCTGGGAGCCCGGGGCTCCTAACTGCTAGCCTGGACAACTGGGGAGGGACAAGAGTTGTCCTTCCCTTGCATGGCTGCTCTTGGTGGGGAGATCAGACCCACCTCCAGAGGCAGTGCAGAAATGAGGGTGGTACACCCTCACTTCTATGCTGCAGCAGCCTGGAAGCTGGGCTCCGGGCTTTCATCTCCCTTTCCCTGCAGCTTTTGCTCCCCCAAAAGCTCCTGCCGGGCTGGGGACTTCTGCTCCCGGTGGCTGCAGCCGGGGCAGCCTGGGCTCTGGGCTTCTGCCCCCCAACCTCACGACCCCTGCCACGGCTCTTGGCACAGAGCTCAGGGACTTCTTCCCCGGTGGCTCCTGGGACTGGGGGCTTCTGCTCCCGTCAGCTACAGCCAGGGCAGCCCAGGCTCAAGACCTATCCCCCACTCCAGCCAGGGCTTGCAGGCAGCCCAGACTCTGGGCTTCTGCTCCCCACTGCTCCAGCCAGGATCAGGACTTCTGCCCTCCCCGCCTTCTCCGCGGCTCCTGCCAAGGCTCCAGGCTTCCTCCCCCAGCAGCTCCAGCCCGGGCTGGGGGCTTCCGCTCCTGTCAGCTGCGGCCTGGGCTCATGGCTTCCACCCTTCCCCCAGCCAAGGCAGCCCAGGCTCGGGGCTTCTGACCCTCCCTCCCCTCCCCACCCCACAGCCAAGGCAGCCCAGGCTCGGGGCTTCTGACCCTCCCTCCCCTCCCCACCCCACAGCCAAGGCAGCCCCGGCTCAGGGCTTCCGCACCGCCGCCACCTCCCCGGCTGAGGCAGCCTGGGCTTGGAGCTTCGGCATCCCCATCCCACAGGCCGAGGCAACCCGGGCTCAGGGTTTCCGTCCCCCAGAGCTTCTTCTGCGACTGGGGCACCCTTTTTTCAAAGGGGGGCCCCAAATTGGCCAGGGGCCCCTACCTTAATCTGTAACTGACCGGGACTAGCAGCATGGAGGAGATCCTACCCACCTCCAGGAACCTTCTCTAACTGCAGGAAGCTTGGAGGCTGCCGCCTAGGCAGCCAAGAAGTGAGGGTTGCAATCTTGGGACTCCCCATATAACAACTTCGCAACCCCCACATCCCACAATCCCATTTTGGGTTTGGGCCCCCCATGGTTACAACACTGACATTTCAGATGTAAACATCTGAAATTGTGAAATTGACCAATTTAAAAACCCTCTGGCCATGAAACTGACCAGAATGGGCAGTAAATTTGGTGGGGTCCTACTCATTCGTATTGCTAAACAAGCAGAAGTCAATCAAAAAAAGCCCTAGATCCAAACCCCTCTGAAGACTAGATTAGATTTACTTCTGCAGTTCAGATCTCTAACAGAAGCTGGTTGAAATGTGCAGAATTTTTTAATAAAAGATTTTGAAATCATTTCACACACAAACAAACCCCACACTCCATTTTTCAACCACTATTCCTCTAGTAGCTCCCTCTCCCCCAGTATAGAAGGATCAGCAGCACAAAAGCTCAGCGGTATTGCCTCAAACCTCTTTTACAATCATGCCAACAAGCTTATGAGAAAGGTATTCATATCCCTAGAGAAACTGAAGCACAAGGAGGAACTGTGACAGGAACAGAGTTTACGGGTCTAATTCAAAACCCATTGAGCCAATGGAAAGATTTCCATTGACTTCAATGGGCACTGGATTGGGCCCCAAGTTCAGATAGTTGTTGAGGTCACATGAACAATCAGTGGCAGAACTCAGACTAGAACTCAGTAGTCTGACTCCTAATCCTCTGTTCTAGTCCTTAGACTCAATGCCCTCCCTAGTTCCTTTTGACAGGTGTTAAATACAGGACTGTGCAGACATGTCCCAAGATATCAACGTAAATGTATATTTAACATAAGCTAATACTACAATATACACCAAGAAGTTCATACATCCAGACCTGCACTTGGAGTTGAAATTCATATGGTCTGTGCATATAGAAAAAGTGTGTTTGCAACTAAATAAGTTTATACAGCAGTATTGAAAGGGATAGGAATGTAGGTTCTACATTCAACTTAGTCAGCACTAGCCAACTGTACAAGTATTTTCACTAGGCTGCCTTGCTAGGATCGGACTGACTCAGCGTGCCTGCAATGTAATCCCATTGCCAGATCATCTTACAAAAATGCAATATCCTGAGGATATGAATTTAACGCAATCTTGCCATGGAGCAGTCAGCTGACTGTGATAAGCCATGTTGTACTGAGGCCATTGCGCTGCAGATGTGATCTAATTAGGCTATCCTTGTCGTTTGTATATTTGGATGGCGGCATTCTTAAATAAGTGCGTTTGTATACTGCTGGGGAGCACACGAGACACCAAGAGAAGGGCCTCATCTACACTGAGGGGTGTAAGCTTTCTGTTGTTGTCAGCCTGGTCAGCTCCATCTGCCCTTGCAATGTTGGGAGTGCTAGCACAGACATGGCTCACGTGTTTCTACGACTGTGATGTCTAGAGGGTAGAGGGCTGTCCAGAGGGCTCAGAAGGATAAAAAATTGCTTGTATGGAGACACACTGTGCTTTAGAGATTGATCATTTTTAAAATGAGGAAGATAATTTTCATCCAGAAACCATACATGAATGCAAGATACGCTTTACAAACAAGGGTAGCATTATCCCCATTTTACAGATAGAAAAAGTGAAGTAGAGATATTAAGGCTAGGATTTTCAAAAGAGCCTAACGGTGTGAGGCCGCCAATGTCCACTGAATTTCAATGGGAGTCATGCTCAACTTCAGTAGGCACCTTTCGAAAAAAATCACAGCCTAAGGGTATGTCTACACTACCAGCCGGATCGGTGGGCAGGGGCCGATCCAGCGGGGATCCATCTATCGCGTCTAGTCTAGAGGTGATAAATCAACCCCTGAGCCCTCTCCCGTCAACTCCTGTACTCCAGCGCCGCGAGAGGCGCAGGCAGAGTCGATGGGGGAGCAGCAGCAGTCGACTCACTGTGGTGAAGACACCACGGTAAGTCGATCTAACTACATTGACTTCAGCTACATTATTCATGTAGCTGAAAAGTTGTGTAACTTAGAT